TAATTATTGACAATGGTCCTCGAGAAAATAAAAGCCTGACCTTAAAGGAATATACTTTCAACAAAAAATAGCTCATATTGATAACCGTGTGAGAAATTCAAAAAAAAAAATTATATGCAATTAAATCTATGCCCGGCGAGGTTTCAAACGTCAGATTAATAATAACTTTCAATACGATGTTTCGTTCAAAATTAATCTTTCATCAATATCTCTGACGCCAAATTAAAAAAAAACACTCATTATAACAGAAGATTAGGTATTTTACTTTGATTAAAGAAATAATCAGTGTTGCAGAAAAATCGTTATTTGTATTTTTTGGGGCTCTGTAAAAATATTATTTACGAAATATCTTTTTATATGTTTTCATACATACAGGTTGTCCCAGCGAGTTGAAAAAGTCTATTAGTGACCTTTAAATGATAAAATTAATCTAAATGATAAAACTAATCTAGTCCATCGCCTAAAATTATTTTCAACTATACAGCATGTCCCAAAAATAAGTTACAATACAAACTTGTGCTTTGTTAAATGAAACACCATATGTTTCTTAGTGTTTTTGGATGTAGATTTATATGACAATGTTTTAAAACAAACTTTTATTGGTCGATTTTGCTTAGTTTTAAAAATAAGACGCTTTTTTTTGACGAAAACATTCACTTTTTAAAAATTTATTACACAAAAACTAAGACATCTAGAAATATTTTTTTACTACCGCAAAGAAGAAGGTACAAGCTGTTAAGGTTGTAACATTTTTTTAAAGTGTTACATTTGCAAAGATAAAAAATTAAGGCCTTTGTTAAAAGTTCAATAACTTAAAAAATGTCTATGAATCACTCTATTTATTGTTTTTGCATTTAAAAAATCATTAAATTTTCTTTCTGAAATTTATCTTTTAAGGTGTTTATAATTAGTAACTAAAAAGATATTTATCCACGCCTATTGTATAATGTACCCCTTATACGTCTGTTTGCTCGATCTTAATAATACCCATTAATCACTGCTGTCAGAAGCTTCCTTGATTTAGCTATGTTTGTTTTGCTACGAACAATTATTGGTTTTTAAAATGTTATCGTGTAAACCACTAAATATTTTCGATTAATTTCTGTACATATAAAAAAAATTAAAAAAAAAACAATTTTCCTTGACCAGATTCGAACCCGAGACTCGCGGTTGCAAGGCAACCAGTATCGACCACGATGAAGTTAAAATGGTGGTTCGACTCTAAGGCAAATCTGTCAACCACTTTGAATTCACCTATGTACTAGTTAAAGGATGTCCCGTTAGATGGTGYCACCGTCGACTCAAATTGTTATTAGAATAAGAAAAAATAAATAGTTTTTACAGAATGGTTACTTTTATTAATTTATTTTTTTTTATTATTTATTTTTATTATCCAGCTGTAACGCAGGCATCTGATGCGTTTTTGAATTTGACATTTTCAATTTGATTTTCAAAAATTCAAGTTATAATTGATGTTTGACTGCTTTCGAGCGTTTGCTTAGTGGTTCCGTTTGTGTTATTTTTATTTATTAAAAAGAAACTAACTCTTTGCGTTAGTGCCACCTGCCGGATTACACGCGAAATAGATCATAGTTATATCACAATCACCATGACAACGTTAGCAATGCGAGTTGAAAAATTTCATTCATAAAAAGGCAGAGTCAAACTACCATCTTAACTACATCGTGGTATCGACACAGAGCCATTACCAACTTCGAATGTGTGTGTCGCATATCCGTTTCTTAAATACTTAATGTAACAAAATTTCCAACAAAAAAGCTTCAACAAAAATATTTAGTGGTCGTGGATAWAGTATAGTATACTAYTMGCGTATAATTAATCATTATACGCTCGTTGTATAATATACTCTAWCGTTAAACATTAAAAAAATAATACTATTGTTTCAGTAGTCGAAAATTGCACAGTTGCACAAGAGATGGAAGAAATATCACTTAATAATCACATTTGTGTTAAGCTGCATCCATTATTATACAATGCTCAGATATTGATAGGCATTGCTGCTACAACTAATATTAAATGTTAAAGATCTTTTCATTTATCAATTCTAGACCTTAAAAGTTTGTTTTTTTAGATAGACAATTTATCAATCTATTAGATGAAAAATAAAAAATAGGGTGTTCYATTAAATTTTTTTAAGTTATTTAACTTTTAACAAACTTTTTAATTTATTAATCCTTACAAATGCAAAACACTAAAAAATTGCTACAGCTTTAAATGCTGTACTTTCTTTTTTGCAAAAGTAAGAAAACATTTATTCTAGCTGTCTTAGATTTTGAGTAAAAGATTTTTAAAAAGGGCATGTTTTCGTCAAAAGGAACGTCTTATTTCTAAAACTAAGCAAAATCGACTAATAAAAATTTAGCGTAAAAACATTGTTTTAAAAGGCTACATCCAAGGAAACATATGGTGTTTCATTTGAAAAAAAACACAAGTTTGTATCGTAACTTATTTTTGGGACATGCTGTATGGTTGAAAATAATTTTAGGTGATGCACTTGATTAGTCTCTATCAATGTCTTATACAACTTTTTTTCAATTTTACTGTTTAAAGGTCACTAATGGACTTTTTCAACTCGCWGSGATACCTGTATAATACAAAAATATCTACAAATTATAAATTGCTTAATTTATTATTATTTTGCTGCTAAAAATCACGGTAAAAATAAGATAGCGTAACTGTGAAAACATGTCAATTACAGTTGACAAGACTAAAAAAATAAATCATTTTATCGTTTGAAAAATGGTGGATGCGMCGGGATAATAATTAAGCGTAAAACTGATAGTTTATGTGGCGAAGCTGAACGTTCATTTTTCCAAACGGAGTGAGGCAAATGATTCAGCTGAGCTACATAAACTCACTTTTAATCCAAATACCATACACTATTTTATCCGTTGAGATTTTGTAAGTGTTTTTGATGTAACTAGTGGCTGCATAGTGCAGTTAGTAGTGCAAAATGTCGATGCTGATAATCTACACTGTACATCTCTAGAAAATGCTGAAGCAACAAAAGAGATAATATTAGTAAATGTCATAGTAAATATCAGGTAAAAGTGAATAACGCTTAGAAGAAAAAACACTGTTTTACCCCATGTCTAAAAGTTGAATCTTTTACTTGTGTCATTTAGATATAAAAGCGTAATGTTTCTGACGTTTGCGAGTAAATAATTTTTTGCAATTTAACTTAAAAGCAAAGTGTTTCGTCACATTATAGTCCGGTCAAAATAAACATTTTAAATAACTAAAATTCCGACAGAGCTAAATTTTGGTGGAGATATTGAGTACACCATTAGGAATAAAGTGTCAAAAGTCCCCATCGATCCCATGTGTGCTAAAAAAGTTATTCGGGGTCAAAGGTCGAAATTTGACATTTTTTAGATTTTTTTCGAAAACGGTAAGTTTTATCAAAAAAGTAGCCCAGACAAAAAATATAGATCTTGAAATTATCTACAAAATGGTCCTTATACTTTTTTTCTAACAATCACCATTCCTGAGATATCGCGATTCTAAAAGTTGAAGGAGTCACGTTCTACATGGTATGCACATACAGAGTGCGTCAGAACTCCCGCTTCAAAGACAAATGCCATGTAGGGTAAGGTACCACAAACATAGAAAAAATTAAAACAAAATCTATCTATAAAAGTTTCAAAGTTATGAGAGTTTAAATTTTGCATTTTGACTCTATTTATTTCTGTAGGGAAAATAATTTTCCAAGTTTTTACAGGCCATTAGAAGAAGAAACAAAAAAGCTGTGTCCTAAATTGTAACTCTGTTCAATGTTATTTGTGGCTTTTATTGGCAAAACTTTTGTACCTTTACTAGATAATTGTAAAAAAACATATACAAAATCATCAGTATTATTAAATAAATAAAAATAAAAATTAAAATAAAAATTAAAAAAATTCTATCTATAAAAATTTCGAAGTTATGAGAGTTTAAATTTTGCACTTTGACTCTTATTTATTTCTGTAGGATAAATAATTTTCCACGTTTTTTTGCTACAGGTTATTAGAAAAGGAAACAAAGAAGCTGTATCCTAAGTTGTAACTCTGTTTAATATTATTTGTAGCTTTTATTGACAAAATTTTTGTANTGAACGTTCATTTTTCCAAACGGAGTGAGGCAAATGATTCAGCTGAGCTACATAAACTCACTTTTAATCCAAATACCATACACTATTTTATCCGTTGAGATTTTGTAAGTGTTTTTGATGTAACTAATGGCTGCATAGTGCAGTTAGTAGTGCAAAATGTCGATGCTGATAATCTACACTGTACATCTCTAAACAAAAGAGATAATATTAGTAAATGTCATAGTAAATATCAGGTAAAAGTGAAAAACGCTTAGAAGAAAAAACAGTGTTTTACCCCATGTCTAAAAGTTGAATCTTTTACTTGTGTCATTTAGATATAAAAGCGTAATGTTTCTGACGTCACATTATTATCGAAACACAATTAAAAAAAAACGTTTTTCAACTATTTTACGTACAATTCAACACAATTATTAAGGTTCAAAGACAATTACAATTAAATCCAGTGTTAAATAGTATATTAAAAAACGAGTGTTACAAACACTTTTGTTTTAATAGGAATAGTTTATGATACGAGCGCTTTTTATTGAGCGCTTTTTAAATTGAATTTGTTATTATAATTGACAGTTAAAGCTGATTAGAAATTAAAACAACAATTTTTTACTTAAAAACAATTATTATTGCAGTTGCATCAGTGTTGTAAAAAGTGTCACACAAAAATTTACCAAAAATAGTCTTACAAACTTGCATTTTGTAACACCATTAAAAAAAAAAAAACAGTATCACAAACGTCACACCAAACGTGAAAAGAATTTTATTATTGGCTTTCAAGTGCTGGCATAAATTGACCTTTATAGCATAAAGTAATCAAAATAAGTTTTATTTTATTTATTTACGCACGAACACATTTCAAATCTGTCTGTGTCACTTAAAAGCTTCCCTTTGATTTCAGATCATGAGTTTAACAGAACTACTGGAGGAAATTGCGCTTCGAACTTAACCAACTCCTAAGATGCTATCACTTCTCCTAGTGACCTTGGCGATCGCTTCCTTGGCGACGAATCTCGATATGAAAACAAACTTTGTTAATTACACAATACCGGAAACAGAAAAGATAATAGGCTTGAGTGGTGTCACATCAATTCAAGGCGAAACMGACGACATTAGAAACAAATCAATCGAAAGAGATAAAGCTGAGGGAAATTCACCATTTCCAGAATGTCGAGGTCAGCAACTTTGCGATAATCTATTAAATATTTCAACGTCAACTTTAACACCTAATGTCGCCAACATGTCAGAAAAAGTAATTATAGAAACTCAAATTCCAGCCACTTTTAGAAAGTTCAATATTTCTGAAAGAACCGGAATTGGGGATAATCTGATTACATCATCTGATAATTTGGTAAAAGAGAACAGTAAAAAATTTAAGTTAAATGCCCGGAAAGTGGGCGAAAGATCGACCAAAAAGACGCCTCAAACAAATCATCATAAATCCTTTCAGTCGGACGATATTTTTAGGCGAAAAATTCGAGGAGAAGGAAATATGAATTCAGTTTCAACGATGATCGGTAAGTTATATTTATGCTTATGTACAAGTGTGCATTTTTTATTATTTATTTATTTGCTCGCTTTTGTTTTGTTAATCCGCGATTAAATAAAATAATTGTTAAAATCGTAGCAATAACTATTGTTAAATGTAGATTACATTTAACTAATGGTGGAGATAAATCTCATTGAAATAATAACATTGAATTACACACATTTTATTGAATACATGCTTTTCTAGTGAAATTTTCGCACTTGCCTGAGGCCTTAAATAAATGAGTAGATTTTTATTTTTGACCCAAAAGTTATAAAAACACTTAAAAAAATTGTTACTAAATAGTTTAAAATATTGTTAAACAAGAGAAAACATAATTTTTGGTTGATTTCACTCGAACTCTTCTTTCTTTTATAATTTATAATAATAGAAAATGTTTTCCTTTATTTTTTAATTATTTCTCTATGTTTTTAAAAGAAGCTGTTGTTTTTTATTTGTCGCAAGGTAGTCAATTATCTACCCACAATGTTTTTGCTTGTATAATTTAATATTTTAGTTTGTTACTAAGAAACAATATTGCTACACTTTTTGTAACCAAAAATTGCTTGTACTCGACTATAAATGTGTGTACATGTTGGTTCATAACTCGCACCCCACAGAAAAAATGCATAATATTCCTGGAATGTGGAAAAGATTTTGACATTTTATTTTTTGAAATTTGCTCATTTTTAGGTCTATGTATTGTTACCGATGATCTTGTACAAATGTTTTTTTCATAATTAATTAGTAAAGGTACAAAAACTTTGTCAATTAAAGCCAAAATTAAATATAGTTACAATTGAGGATATAGCTTCTTTGTTTCTCTTTCTAACAGCCTGCAGCAAAAAACATCTAAAATTAGTTTTTTTAACAAAAATAAATAAGGTCAAAGTGTAAATAAAATTTATACGTCCATAATTCCGAAATTTATATAGATACAATTTTTTATCATTTGTTCCTAATACTTTACTTTAATTGGCATTTTTCTCAGGGGCCGGTGTTCTGAACCACTCTGCATATTAAAGTAAATAAATAAATAATTCATTTATTTTTGATTATGAAGTAGATGGTTGAAGCTTTGGGTTTATGAATATTATATTTTTAGAAGAATGTCTATAAGTGCTGACCAATTTATTTAATTTTTAGTTATCAAATAATTAAATTTGTTCTCAGAATAGCAGGTGTCTCACCATCTTGTTAACATCAAATTATATGAAAACAACTATAAATGTATTAAAGATTTGTTCTCAAATTTTTATTACCAATATATTTATCTATACATTTATCAAAATCACCCGACAGTGTAATGAGTCATGTACTGAAACACAAACTTCTTAGATACCTTCTTTCAATTATTATTAATTGAAAYTGTATAAAAATTAAAAATATATTATTGCCAATTTAATTACTAAACACATTCATTATTTTTCTTACGTTGGTGACAACATCARAATAAAATATCCATACATCGTAAKAGGATACATTTTATTTGATGGTGAATCTACTATTTTGAAAACATAATTATACTTTATATTTATCCCGTATGTGTGCTTAGTAATTTTGAATGAGTTTCAGAAATTTATTTATTGAAAAATGTTTTCCTAATACGTTAACTTTAGTTTTAGGAAAAAATCAACGACAAAGCCGGACGACCAAAGTTTTATCACAAAATCAATCAATTACTACTGAAGGGTCTACGGTTGAAACGGTAAGTTTGTAACATCCTTTGAATTATGAGAAGACTTCAAACGTCACTAGTACGAAATATAAGCTCATGGCTGACCTTATTTATCTAGACTAGACATTTTCATCTTGAAAAGATAGAAAAGTGATAAGGTAGAACATGGTTATTTTATATCTAAAACTTTAGAAAATTGCACTTGTAGTATAATATGTAGTTGCTATTCTCTAATTTATTTCATCCACTTATACAGTTTAACCAGAAAATATTAAACTACTTTTCTAATTTAATGTACTAGCTAGTAATTTTTTTCGTAATTCTTTAACAAGTAAACTATGTTTTATATTTCGATACGATTAAAAAAGTTTCATCACTGCTTTTAAAAAATCTAATGCAATGATTCAAACTGACTATTTTGATTAAAAGCATTATCTGGATTAGGTTAGGCAGCAGATACACAGAGATGCTTCGTGTAACGTAGAGTACCAACTCGAGTGTTTGTTTGAAATATAAAGTCTGTTTTTTTTTTAAATGGAAATACCAAACCGTCTTAACGTTGGCACTACTAGTAAATTCATTCATGGTAATTTTAATTAAGGAAGTTGGCAGTTCCGGTTTTTTGAATTAATTTGAAAACAATGTCATTAAACGTCAACATAAAAAAATCGTGTAAGAAAATTTAGCGACGAAACACCAAAAAAGAAACAAATTCAGTACCGCTAACAGTTTTTAGAAATTTGGAAACAAATAGTTTGCAAGCAGGAAGTTAGAAAAAGGGCCCGTTAAAATGTAGACGCAATTTGTAATGCAGGTTTGCTAAACATCCTAAATTTTTAGCAAGAAATTGACAAGAATACAAAATAAACATGAATGAGACAGAACCTCGGAAAGAACGCAATTAAATTAGTGTCTTATGCATCGTTTTTGAGGAAGGAGTTGAAAAAGTAACAATTTTGAAACTAAAGCTGAAGAAGAATTTATAAAATGCATCAACTTTGAGTTCATTTCAATATTACACAATTACACAAAATTTATTGCCAATCATCATAATACCTACTTGTATCTTTTGCGAAATAACTTTTCTCTGTTTATACATCCTTTTTCTTCAAAGTTTTTGTAGCAAGAACCTCATTTTTGTCCACAACTTACTAGCGGTGTGTTTCTATCAAAATTATTAACACTGAATTCTGTCTTTAGACCTTAGGTAATGATGTCTCTCCTCAGGTATTCAATTATAGCGCTTTCAAAGAGCAAACAGACACAAAAGATTTATAAAAGTCAAAATTTTGAAAACAACCATAATTTTTTAACAAAATTTCTAGGGACAAAAACAAAGAGCAAACAAAATTTGAAACTATGGAGACAAGCTGCTACCAATTTTTTCACCAAAATTTTGACATGGTAATTTCCATTTAAAGAAAAAACAGACTTTATTTGAAATTTCACTCGTCGATTCATGAAGTCGGTCAAAATATGCACAGTTTCCAGAGTTTTCGTCTCCGCAATTGTCAAGTGTCGCGAATCTGACATCATTTTTAGTGTCTTACCGTCACGTAGCTCATTTCTAATTTCATTTTTCTACTCCCACATCTAAAACACGCATTATCGTATATGTTTCCATGACGCTAAGTGACCTTTTATACACACCTTAACAAGCCGTGACTTTTATGCGTATTAGTCACGTTGCTAGACGCTAAGTGACCTTTTATACACACCTTAACAAGCCGTGACTTTTATGCGTATTAGTCACGGGCTTAAGTTAGCTTTCTGTAATTCTAACAATTTTTCGAGTGTGAATCTGGCTGCACGAAACGAAAATCTTGTGGGAAACGCGTTGTGGCTATTAGTCACGGGCTTAAGTTAGCTTTCTGTAATTCTAACAATTTTTCGAGTGTGAATCTGGCTGCACGAAACGAAAATCTTGTGGGAAACGCGTTGTGGCCCGAGCAGAAAATTTTTGGTTGACTGTTATTTAAATTTTGCCAGCAAGAAATATGTTACTTATTGCTAACTTCACCGAGGTGCCTTCCTGTTAGTTGTCATTTAGTTATCATTTCGACGGAGCTGCGGCTTGTGAAAAATGAATGAAATGAAAGTGAAGATGATGTTTTCAATAGAATTTGCACTTCACCTGAGATTATCGAAGCAGCGGTTTCGGCAACTACTAGTTTACTGCCGGAAAAATCAAAAAGTCAAAACGAACGTGTATATAAACTTTTCCAAGATTGGCGTCAAGAAATTAAATAAATKCTTTAACTGAGTATGTGCTGCTTGCATATTTTTAAGATCTTTCGAAAAGGAGGAAACCGTCTTCCTTGTGGACAGTCTACTTAATGTTGCGGATGACGCTTAACCTAAAAAACAATGTTGAGATAAGAAAATATCCTAAATTGTGTGCGTTGCTGAAGGATAAATCTGATGGTTATAAACTTAAAAAGTCGAAAACAGTAAATYAAAGAATTCTTATCGTCTGCTCCTGCTAATGAATACCTATTTACAAAGTTAAACTATAATACCAAATTAATTAAAAAATAAGTACAAATATTCATTTGTTTATTTTTATTTTTAATTTAAGTATTTTTTTTGTGGTGATCGTAGAAAAAGAATAGTATGTAACACGTGTCTAAACTTCTCTATACATTCGTTTTATTAAACACTTGCTCCGCTGCGCTTCGCTCGTGCCTAATAAAACTCATGTCTAAAGTGACGTTTATAGCACWAGTTACATAATATACTATTTTAGTTAAACCGRCACAGAACACACAGAAAAACWGTAATTATTGGAAATACTTGTGGGACTAACTTGGAGCTGTCACTCGATGTCACTTTATTTTACTCGTATATATGTATCCGTATTGGCCGTGTCATCAAGTGTAAACTCGATGAGRCACGATCGATCTTTGATCGATCTTGATCGTCCATGATCGACGTTCTGTGTATCTGCTGCCTTATTGGATAGACTAATGCAACAAGCAAGGCAAATTACATGCACGGATAACGAGAATTATTGACCTATGGCATCATTAAATTGATGGCTTTGTTCCTTTGTCGGAAGACAACAATTTGCTTTGCTTTGTCTCCAACATCGAGACAACAATAGACAGAGAAATAACAATAATAAAAACGTTAAAATGTTCTGCATAAAGAAAAAGTTTTATCTGCAAGCTGATGTCGTGAAATAAAGCAACCGTAACCGTAAAATTCAACAATAGATTCTGGATTTTAGCTTTTGGGTCATGCAGATGCGCTGGCCACAATACAATGTTTGTTTCAAATCTAAGAATCTGGTAACAMTGTGTTTTGCATTTCGTTAAATTCGAGTTTAAAATATAATTTARAGATACAAATCTATAAGTTTATTATGCAATTTGAAAGCCTAGATATTTCAACAAGCAGTGTGAATTGTGGATTTGGCAAACGTGGAAATCCGTCCCATAAACATTAGGTGACAGTTATGTAACTGAAAAAATTACCTCTACTTTTCTCTAAATCTACCTGTCACCAACGTTAGCCAACTTACTTGAACGTCATCATCTATCTGTATTTTGTAGACTTTGTTTCCAGTGTAAGTATAATCAGTAAAATTTGGATTTTCAAACAAATAGACCGAGCTCTTATTTATCAGTTTATTTGCAATAAAATAAGCTATTTTTTAAATTTGTTCAAAGTAACGTCAAATTCAGGTAAATCAAGGTAAAGTTTCTAATTCTAAATTAAACATATCGAGCTCTGCTTTTAAAGTAATCTTAATGTACATGTTTTTTGAGCTCTACCATGGGATCTCAGTTATTATTAGGGCTAAGTTGCGCATTTTTATGCTGAACAATAATCTGAAAGAAAATTTAATGTGTCATTTTTAATGTTTGAATTATTGGAAAAAAAAAGAAATTGAGATCAGCACAGTTTTTTGATTTTGATTGAACAGAGTTTTTGATTATAATGCTATAGTAAAAGTTATTTAAGTCGTGTTTTCTCTTTTAAAATTTCTAAAATTTTGCTAGTGAGAAGTGTCATTTTTTTTACCTATACAAAAAAAGAAAATAAATTGAAAAACGTCCTATTTTGAAATTTGTTTAATATGACAGGACAATCACAGAATTCAAAGAGTAAAAAATTGATTTTAAAAGAAGTGTCATTTATATTTCGGAAATATTTGTTTTATTTATCTTGAGAATGATTAAAACTTTTATGTTATTTATTTTTTATACATGCTAAAATCATTTTGGATCATCCAAAGAAGATATACATTGACATAAAGAATACAACTAGTTTTTTTCTGTTTATCAACTCAGTTTATCTCATTTTACCCAGACATTACCAAACTCTACCTGAAGAATTCTAAAGTTAAAACTGCATTACAAACATCAGATTGGTATTGTGTGTATTTCTTTACACGGCAATTTATTGCTCCGCAAAAACACAATTAAAGTGCCTGCTTTGAACCAAGAAACAAATTCAAGTTTTTGTATTAAGTAAAGTGCCAACATTACGCAGATTACGCAATTATTTTTTTTCTCAAATCTTGATATGCTTGTTTTATTTCTACTAAGAAAAAGAGATGAAAAAAGAGAAAGAACAATTCATTCATAACTAAAGAAAATAATACGATCTTTAAAAATATTTTTACATAAAAATGCTTCTCTTAAATCTGATAACAAAAAAGAAAACTTCAGTATATTGTACTATCCTGATCATGAATATTAAAATATCCTTTTCAGATGAAAGTGTCTACTACAACGACTCACAAATACACTTCACCGCTGCGGTCTGACTACCCTTTTGAAAGCATTGTACTTTCTGGGAAAAATCCAAGCGATTCAAGCGACTTTTCCGGGAGTTCTTTACGACCAACGTGGGACACTACTCCACCCAAACCGGTTGCTGTCTCTAATTCAGTCGGAAAAACTCGGAATTTCATCAAAGTTTCGACAATCACTTCGCATTCAACGGAAAGTGTTACTCCAGGTGAGCGCAGCACCGTTAATTCGAAATCTTCTGTGCATAAATACGGCTTTCAAGTGGGTTTTTAACCACAATTGTCATGTAGGAGGTATTCAGGAAGGTGGGAAAGAAGAATGGGCACACTAAAAAAAAATGAATAAAGGACATAGCTAATTATAAGATTATTTTTATAGAGCTTCTTGAAACCAAGAATTGCTTTCTGTGAAAGAAAAGTTTTACTCGTAATAGGTACCAAAAACTTTTACAGAAATTCTAATACTTTTAATAATCCACTGCTTTCTTATAATAACATTTTTTTTTAAATGATAGACTTTATGTTTTTTATGGTTAAAAATTAATAAATTTGAAATCTGTTTTCACTTGTATTGAAAAGATTTTGAGAAATTTGCATTTGAGGCTCTAAATAGCCATTTACAGAATTAGATCGGTAGCAACATTTTTATGGCAATACTTTACAAGTCAAGCCGTATGGCGAGACTTGTATGTTTGGCAAGGCCATAAAAATGCTAAGGGTCGTATATTGTATAAGATTATTTAGAATACTGCAACGATCGCTTTCAAGTTAAGCAAAAATTTATGAAAACTAAAATTTAACTAGCGTTTACCCATACAGGGGTGCGCCAGAACTTGCGCCCCAGAGAAAAATTTCAAGTAAGATAAGATACTAGGAACATGGAAAAAATGTTTAAAAAATTTTATCTGTCAAAAAATTTTGACATATATTTTTTGATATTTGACATTTTTTTATGTCTATTTAATGATACTGATGATCTTGTATATGTTTTTTACAATTATTTAGTAAAGGTACAAAAATTTTGCCAATAAAAGCGACAAATAACGTTAAACAAAGTTACAATTTAGGATATAGCTTTCTTGTTTCCTCTTCTAATAGCCTGTAGCAAAAAACTTGGAAAATTATTTTTCCAACAGAAAAATACACAGTTAAAGTGCAAAATTTAAACTCTCAACTCAACTCAACTCTTCGAAACTTTGATAGATAAATTTTTTTAACATTTTTTCCATGTTCCTGCTATCTTACCTTATATGGCATTTTTCTCTGGGGGCGAATTCTGAACATACAAACGAATCTGGTAGATACAGGTTACCGGCCGGTAGATACGCTACGGTTGGTAGTATAGACTATTACGGGACTAAGTCGGTAAATTTTATCTACCGGACTTGTTTGTAACTACATATTAAGTAAATGCTAGTTACCAATTCAGTATCCTAAAAAGTCTTTTTTGTTTCACTGTTTTGGAAACAGAATTAAACATTTAGTTTGTTTGTTTAAATGATTATTTAACTCAGAATTTGCTTTTTTCTGTCTTACTTTTTGTTTAAGAATTTTTTTTAAAAACTAAATATTACACTTCTTGGATCCTCTTGGTATGTAAACGATGAACAAAAACACGATTAAACTCGTCACACCAAACTTTTATTTAAAATACAACGCGTTTTAACCACAAAGTGGTTAAAATATCAACTAAACTTTTATTCTCACCTGAGGATGACCACTTCTGGAGTTATACTGGAGTATAAATATTTTAAAGTAAAGATCAATTTTAATAAATAAAAAATTGGGTTTTAAGATGTTACAAATATGGCAGTGGAGTAAAAAAATGAAAATATTATTTGTATAACAATTCACTAAAGTTGAATTCATTTAATTAATTAAAAAATTAATTTTGAATTAATTAAAACAGAATGGAAATAAAATAACTTTAGTGCTGCATTAATGTATGTATGAACATACATTACGGTTACTATAAAATCGTAATACAACCTAAATTAAATGATGTAAAGAAAATTGAAAAACTGTGCAATCTCATTACAACGTGCACACTTTTTGGACTATTTTTTATAGACAGTTTTAGAAAAAAAACTTTGAAGCACAACTAAAAGAAACTCTTTAATTGTGATTATTATTCCAAAATCTTACCAATGAAAATTAAAATGGAATTCAAGTCCGCATTCATCACTTTTTGTTCCGTGTAGTTTATGTAATTGTACATTAATTTTGATATTTCTGAGTTACTTTATTATAATTTTGAAAAGTTAATAACCAGTGCTAATATTTCAAATTTTTTTGAAACTACGCACATTAATTGCTTGCTTTCTAAAATTTAAAAATAAAATAAATTCCAAGGAAATTTAAAATATAAGGTAGTTCAATGTGTGTGATATTTGCAAAATAAATTATAACCACGGTATTCTTGTTAACTACGGTAGGTAAGAAATTAAAAAAAAATCATTCTTATTAACAAACATTAAGACTATATAGAATACGTAATTAGCCAGCGTTAAATTTGTTACATTTTCTAAATAATTTTGAATGTTCTTAAAATAATGCATTAATTCTTAAATAATCCTCGTAATTTAGTAAAATCTATGGATAGCTTCAATAAGAATATAAGAATAATTCTAAGAATAAATTTTTAGAATACCTACCTGTGTTTTTAACTTTACAATTTTTTAAAAGATTACATATTCTTAGTATTAGTTTTTTCGAAAAAGACAATAATTTCAGATACAACTATTCAATTATAATAATTGTGTTTAAATAATGAATTATTAATAAAAATACAGTTGAATTCTATAATAACAACAGTATAATTTCAAGTTATAGGGATTATTAAAGAAACGTTTTGAAGTTACATTCTTTGCAAAAAAAGTTTTTGATCCTTGTAACATTGATCCTTGTAACAGCACCAATTTTTTTTTATTTCTTCAACTTCGTTTGGTTATTTTTTTATTACTTTTATTACCGTCTTTTCGTCATTTGTTATCATCTATCACTTGGGTAACTGGTAGTTAAAACTTGTTYATGTTAATTACGATTAGTCAAATTGTTTCTTTCTAACAAAGAGTTAAACCTTTTCTCCAAAGTTGGTAAACTGCAAAGAATTTGACTTGGAGAAGTTTTTATTTTCTTTATTACACAGAAACATCAATAACACTGGTCAACAAATTTGAACAAATTTTTGGTAACATTGATTAAACTATCTTCCACGTTTATGATTTTTCACTCGAAATTTTTYACAAAAATGTCTCATCACGTATCATTCGTATGATACCAACTTCGTTCTGACACCCATGTTAAAGCAAAAGAGTACTGAAAATAATTCAACTATTTAATTTATTTTATTATGAGCATACAATATTTTAATAAACTAACWTTAGAAACATTAAAAAAGTCATATATTACAATAAAAGAGTGAAATCTCAACATTTTCTTTTGTTAGGTACGTTACTGTCGCGTTTTAAAAAAAGCTAACAGTAATCGCCCATCATGGAAGGGTTCCAGCGGCCTTGATAGCGATCTTTCATCTTTCTGATGTCTTGGTGAAACCTCTCCCCTTGTTCGTCACTGACAGCCCCCATATTTATTGAAAAAAAATCCAAGTGGGAGTGCAGAAAATGTATTAATTAAWTTATTGATAAAAAATGCAACAAATAAACGGTACGTGTTATCAAAAAACTAAATGCATTTTGTTATTTAGGAAATAAAAAACTACTATTGACCAAATTGTCATCAATGTTACCGAACCCTTGTTGACCTGTGTAATTGTAGTAACAGAAAATTTTTATTAGAGGAAAAACATAACGTGTAATACATACACATTCAGAAAATACACTTTTAGAAAAGTTTGAGTTTGACTGTATTTTTATTCAGCCTGAAAATATAAATAGAAAAAAGTTTTATCCGACATTGYTAGCAGATATTTTGATTTTCCAAGCCAATAACTAATAAAATCACATCAAATATTTTAGTCATAATATTGTTTCTTACCCAAATGTAAAAGCAAAGAATTGATGGAAGATAATACAGTATAGTTCTCAGATTTTTTCCTGCCCTCTGCATATTGCAATTAATGATTTTTATAATATCATGTTTTCACTTTTCAGCTACAAAAAAAGAAGCTAAAACTTTCGGTGTGGTGAAATACGCCAACAAATTTTCACAAAGTCCGTTTGCAAATCTGAAAATTCACATGGAGACACCGACACACCGAAGTCTCCTCAATTTGTTAACGACCGAAGGAAATCTTGTTGATCTCGAAACGGGCACAAAGTCAGTGACAGATGATCTAACAACGTCTAGTGGTAATTTTAGTGATGGTGTTAGTAAAGTGATACAACAGCAGGAAATTCCGTGGCCAGTGAAAAAGGAGGCCGTTGTTGAAGGTGATTTGGTGTTGGGTGGTTTAATGATGGTGCACGAAAGGGAGGACACTATCACGTGCGGACCCGTGATGCCACAAGGTGGTATACAAGCCCTAGAAGCGATGTTGTATACGCTTGATAGGTTGAATTTCGGTTCGGAGTCTATTCTACCTAATATTACGTTGGGAGCGCATATCTTGGATGATTGCGATAAAGACACGTATGGGTTGGAGATGGCAGTGGACTTTATAAAAGGTATGTGAGTAAATGTGTGGAATAGAATGGCTAATAGAATTTAATCAACTTAATATTTTTTCTCTTTGTTAACGAAATATTCCTATTAACTCAAGTTACATACTGTCTACAAGCTTTACGACTTTCACAAAGCGATTTGTTTCGTTAATATCTCTTTCTCACGTTTCACATTACACCTCAGGGAATTGCAAATTTGATTCGTCTTACTTTCAACGAAAAACGTTTCAAATATTATTGTGCACTGTGGTTTTGAGTAAGTATAAGAAGAGCCAAACTTGAATAACTCAAAAAACYTTTTTTGTCAAATCGTCTTAAAATTAGGTCATTTATGAATTAATTTGCGGGCGTAAATAGTGTCTTTTGCGCCCTAAGTCGTAAAAAACAAGCAATTGTAATATCTTTTATTGAAATATGTAGTTACAAACAATTAGCTAATACCTAATAATAAAAACTTTATCATATCATCGTTTATTATGTCTCTATAATAGCAAATATTTCTGTACAATTATATGGGTCATAATATCATAGAAATTCCATAACACGTTAGTTACACATAATACATTAGTTACTGCCAGATATGATGATTTATTGTAATAATTTATTAGAACTGATAACATTAATTTCAATATTTTTACAATTATGAAAACTGAAAGACACATSTTTCTCATCCACCTTGACTGCCGCATCTCCTGTAGYGCTCCCAGATAATTCAGCACACTTGCCAAAGGTACCCTTCCGACCTGAATTTTTTGCGCAATGGAAATCTTCTTTTCTAGGTTTTCTTCTAAATACTCCTTGCAACCTTGCTGGACTTCCATCCACCCTAGAGTTCCTATATTAGAAATATTATTATTACTATTATATTAGAAATATACTAACTCTAATCCACCCAATTCTTGCACTTCTAACACGTCTTCACAGGCGTTTTTCGAATTTGATATATGTAGGATTTTTTTCAGGAATTTTAGAAAAAAAATTAACACCACATGGTTGAATAGTACACTTTCCATTTCTGTATGATACAAAGAATCTTCTATGCGTAACATGAGCCGGCCGTAACGCTGCATATTTTTTAATTAAAATTACGAGATTGACATCACTCTCAGACACAATTGCAAAAATCCTTTTTTTTTATGAGTTTTTGAATCAGGAACAGTAATAACTACCTTATTCTCTAAAATTTCAACGTCATCGGTAGACATCTTCAGTAATTAATTGATTCTGCAAGCTCCAGCAAGTCCAATCAAGAWTGCTATTTTTATCATCAAAAAAGGTTCATCTGGAGCTGTGYGCAAAAATTCATCAACTTGTTCYTTCGTYAGTACTGAAGATTTTTTATGCCGGTATYCAACATTCTTCTTTTTGATAAATTTRATKAARGAACCATATTTGTCAATTTCGATTCTTTCTTTTAGTTCCAAACAAGCTCGCAGCATGGAATATTTCGGCCATAATGATGATGGAGCAACTCATTTGAAAGTTTTGCAAAATACGCTAGCAAAACGGTTTCTCCAGCACCTCCAACCTGTTCCTTGTCTCGCCACTCACAAAAAACACGATATTCTTTTTCGTATTGAATTTTTGACTTGTCTGGCAACAAATCCATTTTCACACTTTCTGCTGACTTTAAAATACGTTCGGGAATACCAAAATCTTCCATTACTTTTACCAGGAACGACCAAACGTGGCAAAACTTTTGTCATTTTTTTGTGATCCAATGTAAACAAAATCAGTGTTTTGTTTTAAAATTGCTTGCTTCGATGATACGATAAACCTTTAAATATAACTCGAATATTTGCGATTTAAACCATCTCGGATGTTGCTACGATGACTCGGCTGTCGCCTCGTCACTTAGCAACGTCCTCGATTATTATAAATCGCATAATATTCTCGTTATATTAATAGCTACAAAAACTAAAAAAAATAACAAAATCATATGCTTCAAAACCATAACCGAACGAATCCTACAATAATGGGACCATAAGGTAGATGGGCAAGATTTCTGCGACTCTTCTTTGAAATAAACAAGTAAAACATTTTCATTAATCTGGCGGTCAGCGATATTTTTCTGGGTGCACCATAGCAAAAATTCATTGAAAGTTTTTTCATAGATTTCTCTTGATTTTCGTAGCAATAACTGAAGTGTTACAGCTTTCGCTTCTTCGGCTAAAATAGCTATTTCTTCTTGTTTTTCGTTTTCGGACATATTATTATCACAAATTCAACTTCTTGAAACACGTCAAAAATTTTTCAGAATTTTGTTTTTATTTATTTGCATCACATTAGCAACCAACAACAACTCGATTTTTGAGAACGAATCGTGCCATTTATTTTCAAAGCTTAAAGGTCGATTTTACAAAAAATCTTATTTGCATTTCGGGCGTGAACGGCAATTTTGGCCCTTTGGCGTCTTATAAACCCTCGGCCTTTCGGGCCTCGGGCTTATAATTCCGCCGCGGGCCAAAATCGCCTCCTTCACGCCCTTAATACAAAAATAGCTATCAGTTTAAGTTTTTGTTTTACGGTTAAAATCGACTATTATCAAAACAGACGATCTTATGCGGTGGCGTAGACGCATAATTTAGTCTTTTGTTATTGGAGGTGTTAGAAACAACGATATTATATTGTATGAAAACCGTAAATTGGTTTTTATTAGTAAGAAAAATTGAAATGAAATTCAGTTTAAACACTTTGTTTAATTTGAAAAAAGGCCACCTTTATTTAAAAACCTCTTGAATGGATTATTTACATTTTTTTTAAAGAGTTTAAAATAAGTCACCTTTTTTTCTTCGACTGCATTTGATGTAATCCACCCGTATAAAATTCTAGACATTAGAAATCTCTAAAGAAATCAATTACAGCTTTGAATTGGTTTTTCCTCTTCTGTCTAGTTGTTAATAGAACTACTACTGGTCGTTTGTCAATCAGACACGATCAGTGGTTGTATTCGTTTCAAAAGTTTACGATTTATAACTTTGCTTTGTCGGAATAAAACGAATGGGAAATGGGAATTTCCGTGGAATGTGTTAAACTTCCAGCATTGAGAAGTCTGGGGTGACAGATTAAGCTTTAACTCGCTTATTGGAACATATTATTTATTGTATTATTATACTAGTAGCTTCTTTGAAAGATATAGAAATGAATGTTTCATGGCTAAACTTACAGTTCCTGAAACCAATTTCTAAGCTTTGTGAAATATTGGAGCGATTGGTAGAAAATTAAACTGATACACTTTTTGTTCGTTGTTTCTTTTCTTTTTTTTTTCAGTAAAAACGCTAATGTTTAATAAATTTCTTTAGTCAGTTAAACAAATAATTAATAGCAAAATTTTTCTTATAATAAAAAGAAACATGTAACAAAATATTTTCTCAAAAAATTTCTGTAATTCAAAAAAATCACATGCGCAACGAGGTATCAAAAGATGTATTTCTTTCTCGATCACGATGCAAGTTACAAAAAGTTTATTTTATTGTTCTTTAAGTCTTGCTCATGTATGTGTTTCCGAAAGTCTTTTCTTTTATTCTTTGGCTTGATTTATAAATTTATAATAATTTTCTAAAAGAACAGAATTGCAACATTTTTATGGCCGCGCCAATACTTTGGCATGGTCATGAAATGCTACCGGTTGTATATACAGAGTGTTCGGTCCAAGTCGCCCCGGCTGATAACACCTAAACTTACTTCTTTTTTTCAAAAAGTAAATATTTAAGTAATAATATTCATTATTGTGTTTATTAGTAAATGTATCAAATTTTTTAGCACATCCGGTGTTGCCGGAAATGCTACCAAATTTAGTTTTTCAAATGGAACACCTATTTTTTTTCCTCGAAACAATATTAATTGACATGAAAGATACGGTAAACCACTATTTATTACATTTTGCGTAACACAATGCAATCAAAAAACATCTTAAATCTTAGAATTTTATAAGGAAATTGGTCGCGTAGCCTGATTTTTAATTTTAAAACAAAGGTGTGAATAAAAAATTCTTGGATACAGTTTAATTGTTGGTTTGACAAATCTAATTTGTCAGTTATGATGAGCGAGTTCTCTTATGGAAACTCTTGGATTTTCTTCGACTGGTAACACATCATTCAGATTTCTATTTTCTTGTTCTTCACAAAGAAGCACAGGTTTTTTATTTTTAAGAAGCGAACCTGTTCGTCTCAGTTGTTTTTCAATTTCCAACGATTTGTGTGAACTCTATTTGGGTATTTTTCTCTACACTGTTTTTCAGCTTCCGCTCTATTTTTATTTCACTTAAAAAACACTTCAAGCTGATCTACCAATTCGTCGTAATTAACATCATCAATTATTAAAGATTTCAATAAGATTTATTGACAAATTAGGCTTTGTCAAACTAACAATTAAACGGTATCCAAGCATATTGCTTTTTGCATGAATACCTTTACAAGTAATCCGCCTACGTTGCAAAATTTGCAATAAAATTAAAAAATTTAAATTGTTTTCTGAGTGTATTATATAAAGTAAATTGTAATAAATAGTGGTTTACCGTATTTTTCATGCCAATTATTATTGTTTCGAGCAAAAAAACATAGGTGTTCTATTTCAAAAACTAAATTTGGTAGCATTTCCGGCTACACCGGATATGCTAAAAAAATTTGATGCATTTTCTAAGAAAGCCAGGAATGAATAGTATTATTTGAAAATTTAGTTTTTGAAAAAAAAAGTAAATTTAGGTGTTATTGGCCGGGGCGATTTGGAACGAACAGCCTGTATATTGCATTAGATTTTTTTAGGCTACTGCAAAAATCTCTTACAAATCGAACAAAAACTCATGAAAAAAAATTAAACTAGTGTTGACGTGTTGACTATGTAAACGCTAGTTACCAATTCAGTATCCTAAAAATGTATTGTTCGTCTTGTTATGGTATAAAAAACATTCAATAATTCACAATTGTAAAGCTGTCGGTATGATTCGTATCACACAGGACTGTTAAGAAGTTTTACCAGTATGATTTTCACTTTAACACTCGGAT